GGCAACCCTCTGGAGCCCACAGTTCCCAATCACCAGGCCCTTCAGCCCGAGCGATGGCTGATGGGAGCCTCTGAGCCCCGGGAGGCCCTGGCCAGAGGCGGGGCCCCGCTGGAGCCGGTGCCCAGGTGCATGGCCGGGGCCTCGGGGGCGCTGGTGGAGGGGCTCCCAGGCCAGCGGCTCTGAGCTGAGCAGATGAGCACATTCAGCCGCTAAAGCCCTTTCCACCCCAGGTGGGTGCCGTCAAGGCCTGTCACAGGACTCCCCCGCCCCCCACTCCTGCACCCTCTCTGGGGATCCGCTGAGGGACTCATGATGGAACACTCTCTCCATGCAAGCTCAGTGCTGATCGCTGGGCGCTGAGTGAGGAAGCCCTCAGGGTTGCCCTGCGTGGGAAAGGCATGCAGCCACACCAACACTGACACAGCTGGGGGACTGGCCGCCTCCCTGGGTCCTCATGCCGCGCCTTCCCCCAGGCCCTGGAGAGCTCCCATCTCCCCACCTCATCTGTCTCCACAGCCACGGCCGGGCCGGAAGGGCTGCAATTACTGTCCCCATTGCGCAGGTGGGAAAGTTGAGGCCAGGCAGGGGTAGAGTGTGCACAGATAGAGAGGCGCTCAGGACATGGGGACACAATGCGGGAGCCATTCCTTCTGCCTTGGATAGGTAGGGGCAGGGAAATTTGAGCTCATCTTTGCACGTTATATTCCAGCCAGGGCGCAGGCTGAGGAAAGGGCCGCTGGGATCGGGCCCTTGGAGACTGGGAGCCAGTCAGGCAGTTTGTTGATGATGTGGGTGTGGGGGGCAGAGGTGACAGGCACAGGCACCCGGAGAGCCTGACTAGGAGTGTCCACGGTCTGTCCCTGACCCTGGTGGGCCCACTTAGGGCCTGGATCCAGCGCCTGCCTCTCCTGGGACTGGTCTTCCTCCGTAAATGGGGCTTAACTGCGCTTGCCACCGGGTGCTGGCGCGCTGAGCGCTGAGCGCTGCAGATGAAAGAGCGTGGCCAGGCTGGGCGGGGCCCACAGCACATCCCCATCCCCACGGGGGGTGAGGTGGGGGAGGGGAAGGGGGGGTCACCGGATCCCCTGAGATGACTGCCTCTCCACAGCTGCCAAACCTGTTCCTCAGCCAGGAAGCTTGGTATTACAGTCCCCCGCCCCGGCCCCCACCAAGGATCCTCTGATGTGATGGGCTAATGACAGACGCCAACTCCCTGTCGGCCGGGAGGAAGGCGCGGCGGTGGCCTTGGCTGCAGGGAGCTGGCAGTGTCCTCACCCATGTGGTCATTTGACACAGGTACACTGAGGACCCCCTCGGACCAGGCCCTGGCCCACGTGTCCGGAAGCACAGAGGAGACACCTGACTTGGCCAGGAGTCCAGGACAGACCAGGCCCAACTCCCTCCCGCTCCTTGGTGAGTGAGCGGGTCCTCTCACCTGCCCTCACGTAGGAGGAAACAGGCCCGAGGCCACACAGCCATCCTTCCGCAGGCAGGACAGCTGCTCTTCCTCTCGTGTACGAGTGAGGAAAGGGGCCTGAGAGGTGCAGTGACTGGCCCAGGTCACAGAGCAGGCGCTGCGCCCGGCCTGGAACCAGGGCTACAGGTGCCACATCCTCCTCGCTGGTCACCACAGCCACACTGACCAGCTGCCGCCACCAAAAGCAGAGGGAGGGCCGGGCCCCAGAGCGCCGGGTGGCGCCCCTCGCAGAGCCCCAGTGCGGGCCACCCGCTCTGCGAAACAGAGCAGACACGGCTCCCCGGGGCCCAGGGTCCCTTGGGGGCACACTGAGATGGTTTCATCTGCATTTCTTTGAAACCCAGAGGGAACATTAAATATGCCGATAATGAGTAATTACTAATGAATGAGGCCGAGACTACAGCCATCTTTCTACCAATGTGGTCATAAAATATAATTAAAAAAAAAACTTTTTATGAAGGAAGGGGCAACCAAGGCAAAAGTGTCCAGCAATGAAGAAAACCATAACGGCCCCGCGGCCGTGGCCGCACTCTCAGGCCCCAAGACCCTGTTCCAGGCAGGGCAACGCCGCCACCCCCACCTGCCACTGTTTACGGAATGATGATGATGGAGGGTGGAGCAGTGTGGGGCTGGGAGAAGACTAGCCAAATGAATGGTGGCCAGACAGAGAGGAACCCGGAAGGGTGGAGATGCTGAGTGAGCAGATGGCAGGGAGATGGGGGGTGGGCAGGAGAGGTGGGAGACAGGTATGTGTGTGGTGTCAGTCTGACGCACGGTGTCAGTGAGGATCGCCAGGACCGAGGGAGGGGCCTGGCGTATCATGGGAGCCCTAAACAAGCCCCAATTCTCCTCTGTGTTTCCAGAGACCAGGGCGTCCCCATGACACCCCACACGGTGGTGGAATGACTGTGTACCTGCCTGCCTCCCCCATGGACCCGGACACATGGGCCAGGGACTGGTCCGGGGGTGGGAGGGTCCTCCGTGTGCCTGTGTCAAGTGACCAAGAGTGAGGACACTGCCAGCTCCCTGCAGCCAGGGTCCTTTCACTTTCCTGTGGCCACTGCAGCGACTTGCCACACACTTGGTGACTTGCAGCAACAGGAACTACTCTCTCACCGGCCAGGCGACCAGAAGTCCAAAATCAAAATCGCTGGGCAGAAATGAAGCTGCCGCAGGGCCATGCTCCCTCTGGGGGTTCCAGGGGAGAGTCCCTTTCTCGTCTCCCCAGCTCCTGGTGGCCGCCAGCGTTCCTTGTCTTGTGACCACATTCTCCAGTCCCCCTGCGATGGTCACCCTGCCCTCTCCTCTCCTCTCTCCTAAAAGGACACTGCGATTGCATGGACGGCCCACCCTGATAATCCAGGGTAAGGTCTGCATCTCAACATCCTCCTTTAATCGAATCTGCCAAGACTTTCCACGCGTGGCAATATCCACGGGTTCCGGGGATTGGCACCCCGTGTCTTCAGGCCCATTATTCGCCTACTAAAGGCGCATGGCGGCCACGCAGTGTAAGAAGGGCCTGCCTCCGACCAGCCTGAGGCCAGGGCCCTTGCCGGAGACCAGTGGAAGGCACATGACCTCCCGCTTCACAGACCAGCGCGTCCTGGGAGGGAGGTGGTTCGGCCAGGACCCTGGGAGAGGAGGGAGACGGTGGGGTCTGGAGGTTCCACTGAAATCGGCTGGGACAGAGGGGAGTGCAGCGCCCTGGTGAGAAGAAGGTCAAGAGAGAGCCCTGCCCCTCCCTGGGCGCTGCTCCTAAATCTGACCTGAGTTCTCAGCAGGTGCTCAGACACGAGCCAGGCCTGCGCTGGGCCCCGGCAGAGCCAGCCCTCGGGGAGCCCTCCATCTAACCCGGGGGCAGCACCGTTGTCTTCAGGAAGCGTCAGTGCAGGTGAGACCCCCATTGCCCAGGTGGGGCAGGGAGGCCTGGGGAGGGCGGAGGGCCCCATGGAGGACCTCCCTTCCTGACCCATCCGGTCCTGTCTCTGATTTTGTCATCTCGTCTCTTCCTCTCGGCACTTTAAAGTGAAACAACGACCGCCTGTCCGCCTTCCCCTAAAGAGCCTGCAGAGGAAGCGAGTCCTTTCCTCCCAGGCTGGTCGGGGGGACCCGGGCACCAGGCCCGGTGCAGGCAGCCCTTCCCTCCTTGGTATCCATCCGCGCTCCTGCCTTCTCGCACCAGCTCCTCCTCACGCGGAGCAGAGCTTCCGCAATGAGACCTGGGGGCCCCGGGCCAGCGCGGGCGGTGGCAGAGCCTCCTGCGTGTCTGAACCCCCAAATCCACCTAAAACGGAAAACGCGGGCTTGGATGTGAAGAGAGTCTTCTGATCTCAGTGGTGCCTCTTTCTAGCCGTGTGACTTGAAGCAAATCACTTAAAACCTCTGTGCGCCAGTTTCCTCGTCTGCAAAAGGCCTGGCCAGCAGGACAATTACGCAGGCGCCTGGGACAAGCTGCCCAGAGTTCGCGGAGGGCTCACCGCTCACTACGCCTCCGGGGAGTCGGCTCCCCGCTGCTCCCCATCCCGCGGGCCATCCTCCCGGCAGCTCTGCCCCCGCCACCCACGCCCAC